ATTTTGCCACAAACCATGGGAAATTTTGAAAATTCTCGCAAAATAATCAAGTCATACATACTTCCCTTCCTTATATGCCCTAACTATAACATCACACTCTTTACAAAATAAAAATTACAAAATAGAACTCACTCCTCCTCTCTCCTTTGCATTTGAATACGCAGGCTGGCCAACTCTTCTTTCTGGCGGATCTCCTCATCGCTTCGGCTGATCTGCGCCTCTTTTAACTTCTTCTGCAGCTGGGCGATTAAATCTTGCTAAAAAAATCACTTGAGAGCTTCTGGCTTTAGATCAAGAGGACCGAGAGGAAAATACAGCTTAACTGGTTTTTGCAACAAGAAGCCAGCAACAGCCAAGGCTGTCGATGGTTTCCTCTTTCGAGAACTACTTCGAAAAAGCAAGGATTTGGTAACAAACGAACACAATGCAAAAAAGGATCGACTTTCTCATTTTATAAAATCGAAATTTCAACCTCAAAAAAAACCCCACCAGCACAAAAATGTTTGAAGAAAATAAAAGAGATACATATATGCAAATTTTTTGTTGTAAATTTTACCTCTCGACAAAAACCTTTTGTCGCTTGGAGAGAATTTTTCTAATAGTAGCTAATTGCCAGTAACATTCACAAGATTTTGCGCTCATAATAAAAAGAAGGAGAAAACTTACATCTTTTTTACGTTCCTCGCTGGCCGACCACAATAATTCCCTCAATTCCTCCTCCACACGATCAAATTCGTCGCAGTTCTTTTCCAGTGCGTCTATTTTGCTCTGTTTTTGCTGCAATTCCAATCACAAATTTCGGCAAACTATCAAACTCCCATCAGTACCCGGAACAGCTGCTAATACATGCTCTTATTGGGTTTACTGGCTACGTGTTTTCTTGACTGGGCTATAACTTGGAGTAGTAACAAGGCCCCTCTCGTAAGTCGACTGGGTCGTCTCCACAATTCCCCAACCCTACACTGGATCGGCACTACTTTACATGGCGGCCTTATATATGCCACATTCGTGCCATTTACACGAACCTACCTAGGAGGAAGTCATGATGCAACAGTCTAGTTTACCATCTGTGGCTTAACTAGCAGTTTTTTTGTTTTCCCGCTAAGTACAGTGGTAGTAGCATTTCATTAAACACAATTTCAACACAGAAGAGAAACCTCATTCGCACGCTCCAAATCTGCATTCGCTGTTTCGAGAGCGGCAATTTTGTCCTTGTATTCGCTAACAATTAGGCCCGTCGCTGAAGCGGTGTTATTGTTGCCCGAATTTTGCTCCAGCTCTTTGCACATCTCGTTTGCTTTTTCATCTGCTGCCTTAAACAGGACTGACTGCGCAAAGACTTTAATTTAAAGGCCTAAAGACCTAAACAAAGACCTAAAATTTTAAGATCTAAAGTTTAAATTGACTTAAATCCACTTATGCTAGGATGAAATTCGTCAGTGCAAATTTTGTTCGGGCCCGATAACTCTTTCGATAATTTGTCCTGCACTCCTTCGAATCTCATTTGAATCAAATGGATCAAATGCTACGAATCAAATGTAAATATGATTGTTTTGGTTTGCCGCCTGTGAGAAAATCAACCAAACTAAGTCTTAACAACATGATTTTGAACTTCCACACATTTCTTCTAAGCCAAATTTACCGAAAAACCGAAAATTTTCTGGAACAATTACCTGCGACGTGGTGGCTTCTTCGGCAGTTCGCGGTGGTGAGCTTTCATCGTCACTGTCCAGCTGAAATTTGCATTTCGTTAAAAAAAAAAAATTTACGCGGCCCTGTTGACTTCAAAAAGACATTAGAAATTACTACCGGTTGATTTGGATTATTTAAATTATGATCCTTCTGAATCAAAATGATCCAGCCATTTAAGAAATGGGATTTGAACAATTTTCGAATCATGAATTATTATCAGAAACTAATAAAAACAAAAAGGAACAAGAGGATTTTTTTAAAGGAATTTTGTATAATTTTAAGAGTTTAAGGAATTTACCAATTTCCTAAAACGATTTTAAGGGAATTTTAAAATGAAATTTTTGGGAACAAGGGAATTTTAAACCAATAAAAATCAAAAAATCAACAGAAATTAGAAAAAAAAAAAACAAAGGAAATAGAGAAATTACCCCCAAAGTTGCGAAGGCCACAATTGATGTGTTGTAATCAGCAGCTGTGCTGGGCGGATCAGATGATTCCTCGTCAATTGTTACAACCTAAAATTAAAATCACACGGTATCTGCAGTAGGACTGGGTGCTCTTGAAGGGGTACTGCGCAACCACATAAGCAACCAGACTCTCCGTCAGATGAGAAACACGTGGAAAGTTTATTTCAAATACGTGAGGATTGTTTTTTTTCGAGAATTTGTTCGAGAATCGAAACCAATCGAATTATTTTTGAAGGTGCAAGTCCGCACGTAATGGATATCGATAGCTACAGGTCCACTGCCTTCGCTCACATGCACACGGATA